TTCCCTGTGTAACAGACCTTTCTGATTGTAGCTTGTCACACAGTCACCTCATTAAGGACCACAACTGCCCGACTTCTTGCTACCAGGCATGGCTGGCTAGGAACGAAGAACTGGGCAATGGCATGTAAGGAGAAGGGATGTGTTTAACTTGGGGTATTCCTGTGGTTTTTCCTCTTCCTGCACGCCAGAAGTACATGACCCGATAACGGTGGGTCCACTTCTACCACGCGGACAAGGACAATGCTCTAGGAGACAGGAGCAGACAGGATGGAAAGCCTTGGGTCTCAGGATGACCAAGCAGAACAGAGCCACCTACCCCCCTGGATGGCTTGTCCCCCTCCAAGACGGTTGTGCTAGAAAAGCCGTACATCGGTCTCCTTCGGGTCACTATATGTGGGGTTTCTCTGCTGTAGCAGCTTGCCTGTACTCTAGCGAAAGCAGAAGACGGCACCTGGAAATGAGTTACCCCATATCAGAAAAGACGCTGTGGGCTTTGGCTCAGCAGCTGGCAAGGGAAGGTGGTGAGAAGAGGTGTTGCAGGCCGGAAAGCTGGGAGCTCTTGTTCCACTGTCACAAAAACTTGCTAGAACTTCAGTAATTTAGAAGACAGGCCCTGTGTCACCGGAACTTGTAACTTCCGGGGAAGTGGTAGAAATGAAACGCTGATTGCTCCTGATGGAGAAGACGCAAACAGGTAAGCACCGGCTGCTTCGCAAGCTGAAATGGAAGGAGATGCAGCCTAAGGGCAGTGTGTCCTGAAGAACTCAGGAACTCAGGACTCCAAATATTTTGGGATCTCAGGACTGGAAAAGTCAACTGCTTTTGTACCCCAAAAGCAGAAGAATTTCTCTCAAAGGGACACCTGGGTAACTCCGTCAGTTAAACAGCTGCCTTCGGCTCAGGTCATGATCCCAGGGTCCTGGGACGGAGCCCTGCATCGGGCTCCCTGCTCAGCAGGAAGTCTGCTTCTCTCTCCCTCTCCCTCGGCCTGCCGCTCCCCCTGCTTGTATGCTCTCTCTGACAAATAAATAGAATCTTTTTAAAAAAAAATTTTTTTTTTTAATCTCAAAGCTTCTATGAAAGTCTCTAGTTAGGAGTAGAGTCACAGGAGTCACGTCCATCTGCAAAGATCAGATTTCGGGTGCAGCCTCAAGGCGGTTGCCATTAACATGAGGAAAGGATGGAGACGCCAAGAACAGACACCAGTAACTAGTATGTCATCCAGTGACTTAAAAACTAAGACCCCCAAAGAAATCTTTGGCAGTGGATACTTTTATCTGGAACGGACTCGAAGCGAACGGACCAGAAGACTATTCAGTTTTTGAGGGATCTGTATTGTCACATGCCTGGTCTATAAAAGCCCGTGACTTCTCGATCTTTAAAGAAACCACTACACTCTCAGACACACTTCAGTGGGTAATGTGTTCTCCAGCTATGCAGCCTCGAGAAGATCACGTTGGAGAGCATGCCTGCTTCAGAAGTGGTTACAATGGAAAATGGACAAAGAACCTCCTAGAAGGCAAAGCCAGGAGCCACGGAGGAAAATGGGCAAGGGGGCTGTCAATAACAGAACCAGGGTTTCAGCAAGGAACACACTGCTCTGCCAGGACAAGAAGCCGTTGCAATCCCTGCCCAGCAGAATTTCATTATCATTATGGACTAACAGCGGCTTGGAGTTCTCATCTTTCCTTTCTCCAAATAGGAATCGGTACTGTCCACCTTTTTATCCCCTGCAAAGATTTATTTCTATATCTGAGAGCGAGAGAGAGTGCACGAGTATGTGCAAGTGTGAGCCAGGGAAAGGAGCAGAGGAAGAGAGAGTCTTAAGCAGATTCCAGCTGAGCAGAGAGCCAGATGTGGGGCTCGACCTCACGACCCTGAGATCATGACTGGAGCAGAAACCAAGTTGGACGCTTAACCAACTGTGCCACCTAGGCACCCCCCACATTCCACTTTTTATATTGCATTTGGGAGGTGGGGAGTAAATGGACTTGTCTACTCTTTTGTAGGTTTTCAGGGTACGAGGAACCATGTGCTGATCTAATGATTGGCCTTATACCACACAGAAATCCCGGATTTTAGACTAGAAGCATTAAATGGATGAGCCTCTATGAGGTCTCACTTGGGGTGTGGGGAATGTCCTCTACCTGTGGGAAGAAGAGTGCCAATGGATACTTGACTAGTGAAAAGGGCAAACTGAGGCAGGGGCTGCTAATTTTGCCCCAAAGTCCATCTGTCCCTTTTTCCTGTCTGCAACAGTATCACCAGATTTTTAACTGGTCACAAGGTCACCAACCTAGAGACTACCTCTTCCAGTCTCCTTTCCTGTTAGGTGTGTCTTTTGATGGAGAAGTTGACAATGGTGAGTGAGAAAAGATGATGCAATTTCCAGGGGCTTTCCCTCCTCCCTCCGGTATAGATGCAAACAGTAGTGCTGAACAGCTTTGAATACAAACGTCTTAGAATACAAACATTACTCTTAGGATATGATAGAACAATCTGAGCAAAGAAGTATGGGTCCCTAAACAACTGTAGGGAACAGGCTTCCCACCTTGAGCACCTGCCTACCACAGACTATCACATCAGAAAGAGTCTTCTACCTTATTTGAACCACTGTATTTTGAGGCCCCTGGTACTGCCATTTAGCTAGGACCCTAACTAATAATAATGCCATCTTCTAATTTTTAACAGTTGAGCTATGAGAAAATATTGTCTACTTGGGGAAGTTAATTTTTTCAAAAGGAATAATAATTTTTTAAAAAGTGTCAGGATCCCAATAAAATTTTTTTTTAACTCCATAATCTTACTTCTGAGACACAAAACTGAGGAAATATTTCAAAAACAGAAAAAGAGATCTAAATGAAGGTGTTCTCCGCAGTTCCGGAGTGCAGAGGAGCAATTAAAAAAAAAATTAGAAACATGCTAAGTGCTCAACCCATAGGGAACAATCGAGAAAATTTATGGAACAACTAGCATTACAGAGTTATTAAAATAATCATCAAAATGATAAATACAGAGAGTGAGGCAGAGAAAACATATGTCTAACCGGTGCATAAAAGAAGGAAAAAAAATGCAATGGGAAAGTTGAATATTTTCTTACAGATGGAAAGTTCCCGAAATTAAAAATAAAAGGCATATCTCTAGATCAGAAGGGACAAACCATCCCTGGAAAGAAAGTTCAGACACTTCATGAGTTAAGAATCTATATGGATCTAGAAATCAGAGACTTTTCCAGACAACGAGTATCAGAAGATAGAACAGCAATATTTACAGCATCCTGAGAGGAAGAAGGAAAGATTCCAGAACCTTCTACCCATCCAGAGGAAAGGTGACAGACACATGTGATTAAGGGCTCGAGACCTCAAGGAAGGTAGCACCCAGGATCCTCTCATGGGGGACAGAATAAAGCACTGATGGACTTGATGACAAAACCCAACCAGCCAAGAACAAATCCAGTCAGGAGCTGGGGAACAGGGCAAGCCACAGCCAAGCCGTGGCCATGGTGGTACACATGGAACCGAGATCGAAGAACAGTGGGAAGCAGGACTGTCGAACTAAATATAGAGTAAGTCTCACCATATGTAAGAATTGAGATGTGAACTAGGGCAGAGGAGCTGAGAGGCGGTAGATAAGATGGCCGACTACGTCCACAATCGAGACACTGAAAACCACCAGTGATGCTTATGCTGAGAATATATATGTTATTTCTCAACAAAAAAAGGAATGACACACTATTTTTGTGGTTTTCATAATCTTTTTCCTTAACTTTGAAGCAATCCTTCAAGAAATAATGTAAATCATGGCAAAAAACAAAAAAAGGAAATAACCAAACATCCACTGGATGTTTGAGAATTCCTTCAGTTCCACTATTCTTTTCCTTTGAACTCGGTAAGGAAGATTAAATTCAATGGATTTCAAACCAGCCCGCTATGTGATAAAATTAAATCCTCGTAAAGCATTAATCCTATTTTTGTAAAACTATTTCTCTTTTAGACTGGCATTCACTGAATATTCATAATGGATATCTTGGTGTTAAAATTTAGGAGAATTTTTTTTAAAAAAATCATGTGTACTTTTATATATATTTTAAAAAATAAGCTTTTCCCCATAAACAACAAATTTCATGTTCTTTCAAAGATGACCAAGAAAGATTGTTATATAAGAAAATTAAGAAGATAAATTTTAAAAAAATATGAGGTATAAAAACATATGTAGAGTCTGGTGTCAAGTATATGATTTTTATAAGTATACATACATATATACCAGAAAAGAGACAAATGTGCCAAAATTTTAATAATGCTTCAGGGATTAGGGATAGATTTCTCTGTTAAAATCTGAAATGAGGAGCGCCTGGGTGGCTCAGTGGGTTAAAGCCTCTGCCTTCGGTTCAGTTCATGATCCCAGAGTCCTGGGATCCAGCCCGGCATCGGGCTCTCTGCTCAGCAGGGAGCCTGCTTCCTCCTCTCTCTCTGCCTGCCTCTTTGCCTACTTGTGATCTCTGTCTGTCCAATAAATAAATAAAATCTTTAAAAAAAAATCTGAAATGAAATTAGAGTAATAAAAAATGTATAAAATCATGAATGGTTTCACTGCTTCTGTTAAAAATTCCCTTCTGTTTACCACAAGTGGTAATAATAACCCCAGATAATAAAGGATTAAGCTTAAGAAGAGTTTATAGAGTCTGTCTGCCCACCAGGGACAAGCAGGTATTTCCTGTGGTTTAGGGTAAACAAAGATCAGGTAACTGTCAACAGATTATGTCATTAAACAAAACACAAGCTGAAGGCAAACCCATCCGGCTTTCCCTGCAGCGTGAAGAATCTTTAGGACAGAAAGACCCCCCTCTGAGGCATGAAATGTGGCCATGGATGTCCATGGAAGGCCATCTGCTGCGTGGGCACACAGGCTTCCCCTCGGAGAGCTCCTCACACACGCCCCCCCCACCCCCGGCAGGTGGCACGTCCCTGTGGCCTCCCCACACACGCACGTAAGCCACGTACCGAACCTGGTTCTCCAGGAAGTGCATGTACCGGTAAAGCAGGGTGTAGGACGGAGACAGGATGCCCACGGACTTCATCCGGGCGCCGCGCTCCAGCTCACTCTCCACAGGCATGTTGGCGAAGCAGGCCAGGCCGAAGAAGGGCCCCTTTCGGAAATAGCTAGAACGGACCCAGTGTGTAGCGTGGATCACCATCAGAGAAATTTTGTTCAGCTTCGTGTTCTAATTTGAGATGCAGTCCCAAGGAAAACAAGTAATGGTGTCCAGGGCTCTACCTGATGAAGCTCGGCCTGAAGATGATGTTTTTAGAACCACAGGGGAACACTGGTCCAAGCCACTCAACCCCAGAGATGCGACAACCGAGGCACAAGGAGATTATGGAATGCTCCGACGGTCATCCAGCGGGAGCCAGGACTTGACCTCTGGCAAGCCTGCTGCTCAACACCCCAACCATGGACAGATCCCTCCTCCTCTCGGGCAACACAGCTCATGCCATGAGAAGGAACCAAAACAATGATCCCTCTTCAGGACCATCTGGAACGGAACTGTTTTATGAGCATAAACCACATTGATTTTTTTTTTTTCTCACTTCCTGAATCCTGAAACTTTTAACGGGGCACAGGACTAGAGCTGTCCTTTACTCCTTCCCCTTTCTCACACTTCTATCCAGGTTGCAGCCCAATGAGAAGATTCAAGCTACCTCGTTCTTCATTACCCTGATGTTCTAGCTGTCTGCTCCTTCTCACACCGATCTACATTACACAGGACTATCACCCGGCCTCAATTAAAGATGGAATTTCAAGTTTGGGGACATAAATGTCTTAAGGTAACCCACACTGAACTGAAAGTCCACTCTTTCAATAAAGCCAAACCTCAAGAGAAGTCTAGTGTTTTCCTAAAAGGGAGAGAACGTCTGATGGTTCTTAACTTTCGGGGGTCATGAAACCCACTGAGACTCTAATGAAAGCTGGGGACCTTCTTGATAGAAAACAGATATAAACACAAACTACAGGTATACTTTCAGGGCCTTTCCCCATACCTTTGGAAGCCTCTCTGATGAGAGCCCTTACTCTGAAGGGAAATGATGTGAGGAGAGGAAATGGTACACGGAAGACTGACATTCTGAAATACTTACATGAAGTCAGACTGAATTTTATGGGACCCACTGGCCATAGACTTGAACTCAACACCTTCAAGGTCAATATCTTGAGGTAAGCACCATTCCACCATGTTTCCTGTGGGGGAAGGAAGGATCCAAGTTAAAAGAAAGTCATTTGAAGAAGAGGGCCTTGTGCAGGAGCTGAGGGCGTACAGCTGCCCAGTAAATGCACTGCTGACTCGGCCACCAAGATGCTCAAGTGGGTCATCTCATCTGCCACCCACATGCTGGCAGAGTCCCCCAGTTACTCCAAAGTGCCAGGAGACCGGCCTTGAAGAAGCCTTCCATCTCCGCCTTGGGATGGGCACAGACTCCCTTCTAGCACGGATACGGTCTTTGGTGATGTCATTCTGCTTCATCACTTCCGAACCTCCTTCCTTTCACGGCCTCACTTCCAAGGGCGTGTTTTTACCCTCTCTCCCCCTTTCCTTTCCTTAACCCCCCGAGATCTGGCTCCATCTTGTCCTTCTACAGCTACTGAATGACAGACCTCAAACTCTGTATTTTGAGTCACATTTTCATTGACCTCTTTGTAGCATTTGAGAGTTCCTCAAAAATTTCTTCCTCGGGTGCCTGCGTGGCTCAGTGGGTTAAGCCTCTGCCTTTGGCTCGGGTCGTGATCTTGGGGTCTTGGGATTGAGCCCTGCATCAGGATCTCTGCTCAGCAGGGAGCATGGACCTCTTTGCCTACTTGTGATCTCTGTCAAATAAATGAATAAAATCTTTAAAAAAAATTTTCTTCCTCTTTTCCCTTGATTCCCATGATAGACTACTACTTTGGTTCTTTCCCCGCCTCTCTGATCTAGGTAGCTGTTTCCTTCCTGAACTCTTTCTCCTCTCTCCCCAGGTGAGGCCCACATCCTAGATTCAGCCACCGGTTCTTTGCTTCCAGAACCTTGGGGCTCATTCACTCTTCATTAATTACTGAGTTTCTACTGAGCTAGATGTTGGAGCTAAAAAGTCAAGTAAGACATAGCCCCTGACCTCAAAGAGATTAGAGTCCAGAGAGAAACAAGGAGCCCAAATGATTACACTTCCGGGGGATAAACGCCATGATAGAGGAGAACATGGGATTTAGACGAAGTGGTCATGAGCATTCATCCGACTGGGGCAATCAGAGACATGCACAGTTAACACTGTTACCTAGAACACTACGGAATATTTACTACTATTTTCTCGCATATTCAGAAATTTTCAAAATAGAATACTAAGCTACGTGTGAGATTTCACTTTTATTTTTTCCTAACAGCCTTACTGAGATACAATTCACATACAGTACAGTGCACTCACTCAAAGCCCACAATTTAAGGGAGAGTTGTGTAATCATCACATTTTCAACTTTCTCCCATTTTTACGTATGAGGAAATGAGACATTAAGGAAACGTGCTTAGTCACCCCTAACTAGCTGAGCGGGCACCCTGAAGGGGCTGTCAGTAGTTAAGGGGCCTGGCCTGGACCCCCTGCACGGGGCTAGACCAGCCCCCTGGTGGCGGACGGTGGTGTAGCAGGTAAACACACACCTGGGCCAGGTGAGACTTGGCTTCAAGGCTTGGTTTTGCTATAAGCTATTGACCCTTGGTAAAACCTCTTGGAGCCTTGGTTTCCTCATTGCAACGGGAGGGCAATTCAGGAATCGAGGAGGCCGACTCACCTGTAAGATCGCTCCCAGCTACTTAATTCCCAACTTAAATGAAGGGAAAAAAATAAAAATAAATTCCCGGGCATCCAGTACAAGAGGGATACGATTTCCCTGAAGACAGAGGTTTCCCTCTTGCTCTGAGCACCTGGCACAGGTCTTGATGTTCCTCATGGACCAGCCTTGGCCAGGTGCAAGAGAAAGTGTGAAATGAGCCCTCCAAAGGCAGAGAAGGGTGGGAAGAGGTAGGGGGGCAGGGGCGGGGGCAGCGGAAGCAGCAGGCCTTGGGATGGTCTGCCCAGGAGTGGGTGGTGGGCCTGTGAGGGTAAATGGGGTGGCGGGGATTTTATTTCAGCACAAACTTTCGTAGGCATTAGAACTGCCATCAGGAATGCAGCCAGCAGGCCTTACAGATCACTGCTCGGAGCATCAGAGAGGCTGCACGTCCCATCTCCCGACAGACGATCCAGTCTCCAAACATGGCAGACATCACAGAGGGTTACCCAATCCCATAGTCACAGCCTCGGAGCTTTCAAATAGTTTACTTTCAAGAGAGGAATCATGAATCTAACAGTGAGCTAAAACAAAAAGCCTGGAAAGGGGAATTAGTATTTCATAAAACAGGCTAGAATGATGTTGTGCGTGTCCAGGTTAAAGACAAGAAAAAGCACAGTGCACTCTGAAAGAGGGGTGAACTTGGGGGAATAAAGGTATCCCCATCTTTCCCCCTTACCATCCAGGTCTCCAGTCTCTGGAGTTCAGGGGCTCTTTGCCTGTGGAGTGCCTCAGGACCCCCCAGGGAACTTAAAAAGGGCTGGGGCTGACCCCAGAAATACCAGATCATGGTCCCTACCCTCGTGCCATGGAGGTGAGTCTGTTGGTGAGCTCCGGCTTTGGCCTCTGTGCCCACGGCCTTAACCCTTCACGATGGCAGCACATGGCTGGCCTAGGAAGGGACAGCCTGGGACAGAGTTGCGATGCCCCTCAGGTAGACTCTGTCCTCTTCCCTCACAGAACCTGCTTCTTCCCATACCTGCTGCCTTCTCTCCCTACACTAACTTCATCTCTTGCCTCCAACTCGAGGAGGAAATGGTCCGTGACTGCTCAGCAACTTGTTAAAACTTTAATTTGACCTATAAACTTTTTTACTTCAAGTACAGGAGCGCACACAAAGCAAAACCAGCTCAGTGAATTTTCCCAACAGGCACAGAGCTGTGGAACCAGCACCCAATCAAGCAGAAGACCATCACCTGCGCATTAGAAGCCCCTCTCCACGGGAACTATTATCTTGCCCTCTAACACGGTAAATTAGCTGGGCTGTCTTAAAATGTACATGGACACAATCACAGTTTGTATTCTTTTGTGTCTTCTTTTGCACAATACTTTTTTGCAAGATTCATTCACGCTGATACACAAAGCAATGGTCTGTTCATTCCTCCCTCCATTCTGGCAGGTAATACAGTAGCTATTTAACTGCTGGTGCACACTGAGCTTATTTCCAATCTGAAGCCGTTACAAAGAGAGCGCTATAAAAATTCCTACGCTTGTCACCTGGTGAATACATGGGCGGTGGCTTTGTAATGCGTCAGCCCCCCTGGGCTTAACCAGGTTGCTCAGAATTCCCTTCCTCGTTATGTTTCCCGGGGAGACAGGGGACACAGAAGGGGAGCAGTAGGCATCTTGTATTCACGCAGACGGCTGGTACAGAAACATCGGGCACCTCACGTGCACTGTTACTCATCTGCAGGCCGCCTCATTGGGGGCAGGGTCGAGGCGCAGCCAAGCCTGTGAGTGCTGGACCCACCCTCCCCTGGGTCCTCTCTCACCTTCTCTGACTCCTAAGCCAGGTGCATGTTTGGTTCCATAATGAAGGGCATCGGCTTCATCGGGACACCCACAGCATTAAAGCTGGAGGCCGACTGAAGTGGGTCTCAAGAGTTCCAGCTTCTCTCCATCTTCCCAACCATACACTCTCCTCTTCCGTAACTGCCTGCCCAGTAGAGTTCAAGCTCTGTCATTAGGCAGAAAGACCGCAGCCTCACACAGACTGTCCACCCAGCTCCCACGACTGGGTAAGATCAAATTCTTGCAATAAACCCCTTCAGACATCTCCTAGTGGTTCTGTTTCTTTGATTAGACTTTGGCTGACATAATATGCGCACATGTCTGTTGACAACACCCCTAGGAGTAGAACTACTGCAAAAATGTCTACATCACTGCAGACTAAGAAACCTTTAATCATCCCTGAAGCAGCATTTTCCAAAGCTTATGCTAATAGGGCTTCTGTGAAAAATAAAACAAATTTTTAAAAAAGGGATTTTGGCCAAGTTATCTTAGGTTAAACAAGGATAGACATATTTCTTTACTGCAAAACTTCTCAGAGGCTTTAATAGGTTACTCTGCATTGTGAATTTCTGAGACCTTAACGTTTCCAATTTTTTTTTTCCCAATAAACCTATTTTTGAGAAACATCTTAAGGGACTAATTATATAGAAGGCATTTTTTTTTTTTTAAAGAAAATATGCTAGTATTCAAGGAGGTGCAAGTTGGCCTCAGTACCCACTCTTCCTTTCTTACAGGGAATAGAATACCCTCTATTTAGCCAGGTATGTGGCCTTGCAAATGACAACTGTTTCTCAGTACCTTCTTGCATCTAGGTAAGGCTACATAGGTCGGTTGTAGCCGGTGGGATCTGGACAGAAGTGAGGGGTCTAGTAGCCAAGATCCTCACAGGGTACTTTCTGTCTGCTCCCCTTCCTCCATCCTGTGCCTGGGATGCAGATGTGGTGACAAGCCATCACGAGTCTAGGTCCCCGGATGAGCCCACGGATCAGAGCCAGCCTGCCAGCCCCAGACCAGCTACCTCCTGTTGCATGACAGAGGAATCAGCTCCTATCTTGATGAAGCTGCTGTTAATTTGGGTCCCCGGGATTCACGGCCAATTCCACATGTTACTCAATACCACTGACCTGTAGAATAAAGCCCCCATCCCTCAGCCTGGTTCTCAAAGCCACTGTCCTTGCTCCACTGTGCCTGTCCAATCCTCACTGCACAGAAACTCAAGAGACTCAGACGGAGGGAAGGACATCCTGGGAGAGACATTCTTAACTTCTAGATGGATGCAAGTCCCTCAGGGGAAAGTTCCATCAGGGGTGGCTGGTGGATCATGGAATGGGCACCAGCTCCACAACATGGCTCTGGGCACAGTTCTCTCTACCTCGCAGGGAGGACGCCTCTGCAGACACACTCCTTGAATGAGAGGAAAGTAGATGAAGCTACTATGGTCCTTAACCCCATCTAGAGAATCACTGTCTAAGATGTCTCTCCATGGGAGACGGGACTGCTTCAAGACAGGAACTTTGCTTATTTATCTTCAGATCCTAACACAGCACACTGCTTAGTGCAGGACAGGATGGGTTTTAATAATAACAATAATAATA